AAAATATCTTTCACGATAATGTGCAAATTACATACCTTGCAAGAGTCACAATTTAGAATAGGTTTGTAGTGTTTTCAAAAGACATTAAGGCTATTACTGTCAGTAACTACTTTCTATATTCCCTTCAAAAGTGTTTCAAGAGATTGTCTGAGGGCTTTGTTAGTACAAGAAACTTTATCTGTCGAAGTGCTTTAAACTGACAGATTGCTAACACAAATCCATTATGTTAAGATCTTAAGTAAAATAATATACTCTCTAAAAATAATTAGGAAAAAGAAAGATAATACATTGCTAAATAAGAAAAGCCACACTCCTAATGTTTTTCTTGCTTCCTAAAGGTGTGGAAGAGAATCCAGTGAGATTCCTGAAGAGGCTCTGATCCTGGTGTCTAGCTCTAGTGATAATGGAAAACTGGGGCATAAACTGTCTCTGTGAAGTCTTAAGAGCAGAGCTACAGAGGAAATCTGAAGTGCAGGAGGTTGAGTCAGGGTGGCTGGGAAGTATCCTAAGCTTTCTTTCACACTGTTTAAAAGCAGCTCAAGACTATTCTTTCTGCATATGTTTAAAATTGTCTATAACTGATACCGGAGGACTCTGATCATAATAAACTCTGCTGGGTGCAAATACTTGGCAAAGAGACAATATTTAAGGTAGCACAGCAATATTATTTTATTGACTTTTGGCTACAATATTAAGCTCCACTGCTTTACTGAGTGACTATTTTTCTAATTACTTTTCAAATTGGCAATGCATTTCAGGCCTATAAGTGATTTCTATTTTGTATAGCAGGTAACAAATGAGGGTTAATTTAAAAATGTCATGCTATTCCCATGCTCTACCTGCCTGAAGCAAAACCAAAGGGATCCTTCATTGACTGCTTTCAAAGTTTCCAAAATTAGGAATTTGCTCTTGCTTTTAAGACAGATTCTAAGACATGCATAGTTGATTTCCCAGCACTTGTCACTTAGCTCAATCATCCTAGCTAGTAATCAAGATCATTGAAATTGTGTAAGGATGGACTTCCTAAACCTGCCCTTTAATGAAGTGATATAGTTATTGCTTAGTAATGAAGCAGTGGCCAGTAGAAAATGCTGGAGGAGCCACAGCTGTATTTCTCACCGGATGTTTTGTTGCATCACTTCACTCTCATTCGGTCAGTGATAACTGCTCCAACTGCCTGTTTATACATTTATTCCACAGCTGCCACTGCTATTTATCTGCAATTCATTCATAAGTAATCTATAAATCCCCAGCCCCTTTTCCTTATGGTTTGCCTATAAGAGTTTCCAAATGGACATTCATGATTAGACCTAGTGGTAAGGAAGGCAGGTTATACAGTGCACATTTTGTAAGGTTTTTAGTACTTAGAAATCATCAACATGCACAGCTCATGCAGCAGGTCTGTGTTAACGTTACTTTTACCATTGGTGTTGATTTGGCCATTTTAGTTTCTTCTGTCTTCTTTCCTGTAAGCTTTCCTACCAAGGCTTCTTTTAAATGGTATTAAGAACTGTTTAGAAAAGAAATACTATTTCCTTTCAGCTTTTATAGATTATAGTACATTGCAGAGCTGAAGAGGGAATAGGCAGAGCCCTGGGACACAGTGGAGGTGGTGTCTTTCCTGAGGTGTTCCTGCAGCCCATTCTGGGACATTCAGCAAGCCATCACCACTGTGCTTTTGTTCCTCCTCTCATTCCCAACATGTCCTCCCTGTGTGGAGAAGAATCTGAGCCTCTTTTGTTTCTGCAAATGACTAACCCCGGTTGTAGTCCTTGCTGGAAGACTAGTAGCAGGAGGTTACTCTGAACAACATTGCATAGTGCTAGCATGGCACCTGCTGTGGCAAAAGCAGCAGCACTTCAAAATCCACAACTTGAAAGCTGGCTCAAGGGAGGCTGGAAGAGTATCCTGCCAAATAAACCTCCTGTGTAGGACAGAAGTAGATGTGTATAAAAAGCCACTATGCTGTAATCCAGGGCTACTTATTTCCCTCTTATACTGAGAGCAGCACAACAATAGTCATGTCTGTCCTTGTAGGAGTGTTTGTGTGTTGTGTATCTAGTTGCTAAGATGATCCAAGCAGTCAGCACGATGTAGCGCTAAATAGGACGTTGATGGCACTGCATAGGTGTTAGAAGACAGGTGGGCTCAATTCTGTCTTCTTTCAAGTAGAGTCTGTCTTCAGAGCAAGAAAAGATGTTTTTACCCACTGAAGCACTTGTCTAGAATCATTGAAAGTCCCATTGCAAGAGGTAGCATTGTGTGTTTAGTATTAATGTTAAAATGGAGAGGCAAGGCAAGGGAGCAAGCATAGAGATGGGTAAGGAGGAAATGGGTGATTTTCAAAAGATACTTTTTTCCTTCAGTTATTTGTTATAGATAAAATTATTGCAGATGAGTATTGCTTCTACTAAGTAGCTGAATGTGTTTGAGGGACAGGAACTAGGAGATTGAGTGCTGCAAGAGCTGATCTAGATGATGTAACGTCTTGATTCTCTGAAATTTTACTGCAGACTGAAGGATCGCTTTTCTGTTGGAAAAACTGTTGATTTTTTCATTTGCTTATGCTTTTGTTTAGAATGGGCACAATGCACAAAACTGGAAGATGTCAGTCTTGGGTTTATGGAAGCCCAGTTTATGCTGAAGGGAAGCATAACTGTTTGCTTTTTTCTGTTTCTCAGTTTTAACAAAAGCTGTGGAGGTGTAATTCAAGTAATTCACATTCTTAAACAATAATACTGACCTGGGCTTGTTTTCATCTTGGCACCTGTCTTTACAGATGCCTGAAAATGTATTTCTCAGGTCTATACTAGAATGTCATAGGGGTTTTTCCAGGGCTGGTGAATTGGTCTGTTTCTGATGGTGGACTTACGAGAAAAACACTGGCCAGCTGACTTGCAGCAGAGCTGGCTTCTAGGACTGGCTCTGCCACTGGCTTGTTTGGTGGCTATGGGCAGTCACTTGATGACTCTATGACTGCATTTTCCCACCTTAAAACCAGGAGTGATGATTTTTATTTCCTTTGTAAACGGCTTTGAGATCTGCTTTATCCCACAGTAAACATTACTAATAGTAGTCATATATATAATACTCTTTTAAAGCTGTAGAAAGCTATCTGTGAATCTGGCTTAGTCCCTGCAACCAGTGGGGGTCCCTAAAACCATTCAGAATTAGTAGCTGGGAGAGAGTCACTGTTGTACAGACATGACCAAGCTCCAGAGATGCGACTGCAACTCCAGCAGGTATGTGCAAGCTCACTGTGAGCTCTGGTGCTGCTAATGGAGCACCTGTGGCAGTGTGGAGCTCAGAGTGTGCTGCTGGCTGCCCCCAGGTAGCTCAGTAGATACCAGGATGATGAGCCCACACTGAGCTCCACACTGCGGCAGTGGCATTGTTGCCACTGCCTTACCTAGTTAATTTAAAGGTGTGGTATGAAAATGCACCCTACAGGAGACCACAGGCTCAGTGTCTTAGTTACATTTGCTATCAAGCATGGGTTGCTGGCATCATTTCAAATTACCTTACCTTTGGCTTATCATCCTCATACTCTGTAAATACATTTCCGGTCTCAAAGTAAGGGAAGGTTTTCTTCATCCTTTTTATCTGTCATGAATGGTGTTCCAGTCTAAGGCATGCTTAAAATAGGTTTTTAAATGCCTTAATTTTCATGTTAGTTGCCACTTTATCTGTACCTAACTCTCATCTACCTTTTTTCCCATCCATAAAGGTGAAGGATGCTTTAACATGGTGACAGTAATGCTAAGAAGTAGGTAGTATTACTCTGTTTTGAGAGAAAGAGAGAAATCGAGGCAGGGAAAAAGTTATCTGCCATGAACTAAACAGAGTGTCAAGGTAGAAGGAGGAACTGGCTTTAGGCTTATTTTTCATTAGGGGAATCAGTGGTGTTTGGACCACATGGACCACAGTAACTCATCAACTACCAATTGCATACTAATCCGTTTTATGCCAGGTTTTGTATACCTTATATCAATGTTTGTAAGAAAAGTCTTAAGTACACTTTGAAATGACACAGCAGATTAATAATAGAATAAATAATTCAGTACTCTATGAAACAAGCATCCTCCTAGATGTATCAGATAAATAAAACATGGATTAGAAGTGTCTCTGAATGATGGTATTGTAGGAAAGGCATCTCAAAAACTAAAGGAGTAATGATCACATCCTTTTCTGGTTTATAGTTTTCCTTTCTCAATATCATTAAAATAATTGCCTCCAAATTCAAATGCTTATGGGAAACGTATACATTGAAAAGACCTGGGTTTAAGTCTCATTAGCTGTGCAAAGTATCAATTCATTTGGCAAAATATTCATCTAGAAAAGAGTTTGTGCCAGTTCAACGCTATTTGATGGCTGATTCCTCAAAGATCTATTCTGAGTATAGAAAGGAGCCACATGATTCATTCAGCTTGTGCATATCTATTTTACCTCGATAGAAGGGTTATATCTGGGGAGATAAAGGTTTGTTAAACAAAGTATCATTAATCACTCTGTCCGGAAATGTAGACTTTGCAGGAGCATGCTGTAATTTGCATCACTTTTGCTGTGCCTTGCCAGTGCTGCTGATGAGAAATAACAAACCTGTATTTATGAAAAGGACAGGTTTAAGATGAAAATAATTCTATCTGAAAACTGTGAGAATGGTACAGAATCCTGTCGCCTGCACTCGTTCAACGGGAGAACACTGTATTTGTAATAAATTCCTTTTGCTCTGGATGAGTTCTGCATTTTCAATGAGGTTAACTTGGCAACATTCTAGTTGATTTTAATAAAAATAGCTTCTTTGAGGACAGGGAGCTGAGGTTGCCAAATTTACAGCTGCCTTGCACAATTACTCTTACACCTCCTTCAGGGCTACTTAGAACCAGTAAGCAAATTAAGTGTATCGATTGCAATTTTGTTGGACTAACCCTTTTTTCTTAAGGAATAAACTTGATTCCTTTCAGTATGTGTCTGCTCAGAGTGATCTCTTTTCTTTTCAGCCATAACACAAAGACAACATCATGGCTGGATCCACGACTTGCGAAAAAGGCTAAACCTCCAGAAGAGTGCAAAGAAAATGGTAGGTTATTAAGTTTTCGTTGCTGTTCAGAGGGGATTTGCCTTTGTGTGTGTGTGTGTCTCTCAGTTCTTACGAAAATCAGGCATTTAGGGGAATGATGAAAGGTGTTTAATTGCTGCTTTGGTTAGAAGCCATAAGTGATACCAGTTCTCAGTGTGCCATGTGTTTCTGCTTTTTATTCCCCTTTCTGATGCTATCCAAAGCTGAGGATCACAAGTGTGTTTTCTGCCTGTTGTGTGTGTGACTCCGGGACTGACCCTCTCCCTCATCTCCTACAGAGAACTTTGGTCTGCAGAACAGAATCCCTTTTCAGATTCTGAGCTTTTAATCTACAGGCGATTCAATGCATAAGGGAAACTAGCAGCACCGTGGGAATATGAATATTGTTTGATTTGTATTTAAAGGTACAGTGTGATGCTATTTAGTAGCCAATTTAAACAAAATAGTGTCTGATAAAACAGGGTGTGGGAGGGAGAAAAGAGATCAGTGTCTGTCAGAGTTCAGGGCTGGATTTGGGGGGTACTGCATTGTTAATGGTTTAAAATTTAACAGCGTGAATACTGTTGAGGATGCTTAAAGGAGCTGTAGCTGTTGTGCAGGAGAGATGACTATATTGACAGATTCAGAGATATGAGCTAATACAGATCATATCAAACTGTCTTATATGCATTCAGTATAATTTCTGGTTTTCCTCTGGTAAAGTTTCAGTAATCAAAATCCTGTAATAAAGGCAAAGTAAAAATGTAATAGATCGTTTTCTGAGGAGTCTTTTTCCATTGTTTTATAGTGCAGTGTCGGTTCAATTAGCCAGTTGAAAAGTGATGATTTCTAAAGACTGCTACTTATTTTATTGTTGTGAGATACAGATGATTAAATGCATGCATTTGATGTGCATTAGTGCAAATAATTTTAAATTATTTTAAATGTGTTAATAGCTTTTCATGTACTGCATCTGATCTATTTTAAATTTTCCAAGATACATTCATTTGGTTAATGTAAATACTATTAGCAGAAAGAAAACTCAGTGCCGGTTTGGGTTGATAAAGAGGTCACTGAGGAATTGCTGGCTGTATGAAATGCAGGGTCAGTCAGTGTTTTGGTAAAGAATGTTCCTAGGGTTTTTTTGTAAATAGCTTTATTTTGAAAGATTGCTATATTCCAAAAATCCCTTCCTTATTTCAGCAGTAATTCTGACGTTCTATTCTGACATCAGAAATTACATGTCTGAATAATTTTGTGATGCTTATTCTAGCACTGACAACACAGGCTCCCACAGTAAATTCTACAGTGAATGCAACAGAAGTGTGTTACTGAAACAAAACAAGGGCACAGGAGTTTTGCATTCTAAATCTCTCACATTACTTACGTGAATTTATGTCTTTGCCTGCTCCTTAAGGAATACTAGTGAGAAAGGCAGAAGAAAAATCCACCAGTATCTATGAAGTAACATATTGCAGACTTACTTGGAGTAAATGATCTGGGTTTTTTTTCCTGGTATCTGTTGTATATACTGAGAGATCACCACAAGCACTGAAATATTAAAAAAAAAATCCAGCTAACAACAAAGTATCTTAAACAATTTAAAATGAAAATGCTGTTAAAGAAATTATTTTGTAGTTATTTGCCTACTGGATTATCAAATTACTATAGTGTGCTGGGTCATGTTGTTCTTGTAAGGGTTGCTCAGCTCATTAATGCAAAGTACTTGAAGCATAAAAGACTTTAGAGTGAGATTTTCTGTTCTTAGAGATTCTTCCTGAAACATCCTCTCTTTTCATAAGATTCTTTGGTTGTTCAAGAATGTGGGCTTGGTGGTTGATTGTTTTTTTTTTTTTTAATCCAATACCTGTAGAAGAAAAGGTTCTTAAAAATCCCTAATATGCGTTAAAATGACTGTACCTTGCCACTGAGGTCCAAAGCCAGGAACTTCGTTATAGCACATGGGGATTTGGAATTCTTGTTAGATTTAATGCCAGATCAAGGAATAATTTCACACATACTTCAGCTATGGCTTGGTAGTATTGCGCTTTATGATTTATTCTGGCACATTCTGCTCAGAGAAACAGAGGTTTAGAAAGGCATCAGTGTTTAGATAAGAAATGATACTTACCTTGCTGCTTTATTGCTATCTGCATAACTTGTTTTCATTGACATTCATTTTGTCACACCTGAAACTTGCATTGATTCTCTGAGATACATTATGATATCCTTATCACTTATCAGACTCTGCTATCAGGCTTTCATTCTGAAGAACCCAACTTCTATGTTCTCCTTTGAGTGCAAATATTGCCAAATCATAGAATCATGGAATGGTTAGGGTTCCTTCTTCATTCTGCCACCAGCATGAAGTTTCCACACCAGACAACGTTCTTGCAGTGTACAGTATTTGAGTCCTGATGTTCTGGGCTAGTGATACTGAGTGGTCCATCCGCTCCAGGCATTTCCCTTCTTCCATTTTCAGCTCTTTAATACTCCTTTGCCAAATTCAATTTATTCATTTTCTCTGGCTTCTGTATGCAAACCCCGGTGCTGTTCATTTCTCTTTGCAAAATCTGAACCAACCTTCCAGTACATCCCTCCTCTTGAAAAATTTTCACATGCCTTTGCCAAGAGACTGACAAGCTCTACCAGGTCAAGTTTTCTTTGCGTCTGTACTGGGAACTCTCTCTGTTTTCCTTGAATGATACCCACTGCTCTAAACCTCTTTGTAGGTCAGGAGGTTTTAAGGGCTGATATTTATTTCTTTCTCTGTCATGGAACTTCTGTGTAAATTTCAGCAAATTGCTTTGACTTTTGCTCTGTGAGATCTACTTAGATTTCAGGTCTGAAGCAAGAATTGCCTCTTACTCTCTGTTTGTGTGGTGCCTACCTGAGTTTCATAATAGCATTAAGCAGAAATAGCTGTCAATTCTTCACTAAGAACTAGATTTTCTTTTACATTCCTGACTTCCTCCAGAAAATCTTAAATTTATTAAAATAATTGTGTTTTCTCTCCTGGAAATATTAGCTGTTCGGGGTTTCTGAAGTGGAATGCTTCTTTGAAAGTATTCCTTTTTATCTTTTCCCCACCAGAACTGGTTAACCAATTTTTATCTGCAGAGTGCTACAGAAGTTGCAGTTCTGCCCCCTTTGTTTCTGAGCTAGATTCCTTGGTTGCTACATTTTCTGTAATTTCTTACGTAGCAGACTTGCAGGATTTGCATGATTACAGGTATATTATGTGAGTGGTCTACTAACAGTCTGTTCTTTGGGAGAGAATATGGAAAAGAATGACAAGTCCCATAAGGCAGTAAAGATTTTAGTTTAATATTGAAAGGCAGTTCAGCTTTAATGACATGAAATATCTGAGGTTTTAGAAAGTTCATTTTTGGTTAAGAAATGTAGTCTTTAATTAATTTTATGGAAATTTCCATTCTGGGGAAAAGTGAACATTTACTTCCTTATCCAATTTGGGGATTAAAGAGCTGTTGAAATTTCCTGGGATCAGATATGTCAAATTTCACTTATTTCATTACTACGAATTTCACATATTTCATTACCGATCCATCGCAACCAGTAGTCTCCATCACTCTTAATCCATCCCTTCCTTTTTATGTCAACCTCCTTTCTCCTTAGTTTTCAAATCCAAGTAGGCTTAAGACTATAAATAGAGCTTTGATTTCACCTAGCATTCATCTGTCATCTGTCTTTTTATCTCCTCTACACCCACCAATTTGACTGCAAAGTATGGATGTTTATTGAGGGTGAGCTGAGTTGCTTTTAAACTTCATTGACTGTGAATGTCAGTTCTATTTTGACAATTAGAGGACACAGATTTACACGTGTATGTAGACAGACATTTAGGTATCTTCACCTCAAACTGAACCCCAGTCTCTTGTCACATTTTTTTCAGATTATCCTTTTCCCCATTCCTGTAGTCACAGGCAATACCTTTTGGTGAGCTCACTGCCACACACAGCTTCAGCGTTCTTCATGCCAAAGGCACACACATCTATTCTTGTCCTCTTCATCTTTCTTTCCTAGTTGAGCCCTTTGTTTCATGCTAAGTATGATGTCTCCTGTTGGATATCTCCCATCTTGAGCAAATCCTCCAAGCAAATTCCCTTTTGTTAATAGCAACGCTTACCGCCTCCATATATCCTTGCCTTGCCACTTCATGGCATATGGGACTTCTCCCTTTTACTTTTCATCCAGACAGCAGAGTTCTTATTCAAGGCTTTGTATGGCACATGCAGTGTGTCATAGCACATGTGGTCACAAATTCAGGAATTCAGCTCCCTTTCCTCCTTTGAGAACATTGTCATTATCTCGACCAATCATCTCTAAACATTTCAGAATTTCATTAATAAAAGGAAAGCTGTAGATTTATTGCTTGAACCAACTTTTTAAACATATGTATTTATATATTTAATATGATTCTTCCATTAAAATAAATAAATAAATAAATCCAGAAGACAAGTGTTACATTTGGAATCATAAGGGCAATCACTTATTGCTCTTTCTGCAGTCTCAAAGGTTTAACTATCCCAGGAAACCAGTAATTTTTCACATGAGTAAAAATTTTGTATTACATTTCATGAGTGCTTTAATGCTGGAAAGTACTTTCTCAAAACCTCACCATTTAACATACAGTCCCTCTTCATGTCCCTGGTCTAAGCTACTCCCTCACCATTTGTATATGCCCCTATCTAACCCTAGAAATGACTGAAGCCCAGCAATTAGTCTACAGTTGTGACTCTTACTTGTTTCCAGCAGGTATTTTGCTTTATAAACCATCTAACTGATAGAAACTAGACTCAAACTTCCAGTGACAGAAAAGGGCACCTATATTGTTATAACTCCACAAATGTAAACAGGAATTCAAAACTGTTTTTCTCAAATTTCACCAGACCTTGTTAAAATTAATAACTTTCCATAACATCTTTAGTTTGTTTGACAGTTAGCAAGAAAGAAATAAAATGTAGGACTGTCTTTGTCATCTGCTTACATTTTGTATTTCT